TTAAACCTGTCGAACGGCCCTCGCACAGTTTCATTTTGCCAATCGCAAGCGAAATAAACATTGCATTGCCATTTTGCGTAGCCATTTTCAATTAAATTATCAAAACAAGCTACCCCAAAAAGAGAACAATGCGCCAACCAAAGGCAACACCTAAGTGCATTTCCAAATCCTGTGCACAGCCAGAGCAACAGCTCCCGTTGTCTGCCGAGTCTGCTGAGGCTCAAGTGGCGACTGGCAGCCGCAAAGCCAAACACCTAAGTCATTGTCATTGTCAACAGCAGGCAGGAGAGTGTTGCTTGGCATTGTTGTGCGATTTAAGACTTGGCAACTTCATTCATTATTCTTGCGGCCAAAATGCGAACGAAGCATTCTGTTTTGCTTTCACTCTTTTTTTTTTTGCCAAATACCGAAATGACTTTTCGATGTGGTTTCATAATAAAACGCAACAACAGCCAAGAGACAATTTTATATGCAAATGACTCGAATGAATTTAATCAACAATTGTTTTTTCTCTCTCTCTCTCTCGCTCCTTGTGTACCTTGTCTCTGCACACTTTGTGTGCATTATTCTAATGAGATTTTCTCTCGAGCGGCAGTTTTTATGGGCAACATTAAATGTAGCAACAAGCCGTATAGTTGGACGGCGGGTCATGTCTGCAATTGTTGCACTTATTTTGATAACAACTTTTCAAATTAAATGGCCAGACTCGAGATTGCCCATCCCCCCAAAACATTACGCATACGACATGTAACACGCTAGCATAACTAATGGCATTTAGTGTACTTCATACACATGACTTTACTGTGGTCGCATTGCATTTCTGACCGCAGTAAACGTAATTGTCTGTGGTGCCGTGGTCAGCCAATAAAAGCAAACGGTTCTCGAGACCCTTCAAGTAGCCTGGCCACCGGCAGTTAGTTTATCCTGGCCATCAAAATGGTGCACTCATCTCCGACGCTTTCCTGCCACATACTCTCTGGCATACAATTTCAAATTTGATGCTGTTGCTGGCGCATAAAAAACTGCGTTTTGCAGTAAAAAACAAAAGGGCAGCCAGCGTCGCGACATGTTGCTGCAACAATGTTGCCAACGTTCGGTGGCAACCCTAAGCCCCATTCTATCTCATTTCTATTTGATTTGCATATGACAAACGTAGCTAACTGGAAGCTGGTAATATGAATACTTGACCGGGTATCTGGCTATCTGGGCAGCCGGGTTGTTCATTTTGCTGCAAATGACCGGCAATTATGTTGTTGCTCGTTGTGTGTGCATGTGTGTGTGTGTGTGTGTCTGTCTGTGGGGGAGTGTGTGCTGCTGATAGCCTTTCAGAGACCGTGTTCGTGCCCATTGTGACGTGTCGTGTCCAGCTTGTTATGTGGCCGACAGACGTCGACATTGCATTCTTATTGACTCTAGTGCCACTTTGGTTGCAGCTCAAACCAACCAATTCACAATTGCCCCACCCAAACCCACATCTGCCGCCCCACGCCCTCTCATTGCCAACGAAAAGCATCTCTTGTGCATGTGAACAACATTGTTGGACTGGGTTTTTATTCCTGCATTGGCCATTTGGGTTGTGCTGTGCGGTTGGGCATGCAAAATTAAATTAAAATGCATTAACAAAGATTCCAAAAGGGGAGGTTCAAGCTCATGGTAGATATATAAAGATATACATATATGCATTATGTTAGTAAAATCATGCTGCTATATCTGGCAGGTCTCCATGAGCGTGTTGCTGAAGCCATATATATATATGTCATAGGATATATGCAAGAAATATTTTGGCTATTTATTCTTAGCTTCCAGATAACAATCTTGCCTAAATACTTGGCTTAGACCAAATAAAAGACAGACTTTCCACTTTTATTGACTTGAACACGTAACTAGAAATTTTAAATGACATCATCAGCAAAGCGAATAATTGATTTTCTGTCCGCTCGAGGCGCTTGGGGAGCTGCCGCCGGCTTTCGGGCTGCCAAAACAAATTTGTATAAAAAATCAGAGCCGTGGACCGTGGAAGCCACTGAGGCCTAAACCGAACATCAGATTATAAAGAGAAACCGTGAATTATACACTTGAGTCGCAAACAGGGGCGTATTGTGAAAATGCCGCCTGCAGTGTGGGTGTTAAGGAAATCCGCGCAAAAGGACACTAATATAAATAAAATTTCAATTACTCAACAATTAATTTCGTCTTGTGAGCAAGCGGCGATGCGTTAAAAACTCGCCAACACACAGACCACGGACCAAGAACAGGCACATCCTTGAGAGCTAGTCGAGCGTATTTGCGCTGGATATTTAAAAGTTATCGCCCAGTGCCAAACGGAACTGCCAGCTGTGTCTCGTTTTGGGGCCAAGCTAAGGTCCTTGGGCATTTAATTGCTGGAGCGAGAGCATGCGACACACAATTAGATGGCAACGTATTTGTTTTCTGATTATGAAGCGTTAAGCAAAACTGTCAACGTGCGACCGAGAAACGCAATTTATTGAGAAAGTTTCAGGACACCCGCAACTACCACCCTAGGACCAAGAGCAGCGCCGCATCCTGCCAGGCTAAAAGCTTATCTCTGTGCTTCGTCACTCAACCAAAACGACGACTACGACAGGCGGCAAGAAGTTGATCTTAAGTCTGTGATAGGGTCTCTTTCTGTCTGTGGAGCTGGAGCTGAAGCTGAAGCCACCTTCATCCATTCTGTGCGCTGTCTGGTCGTCACGCACAAAGGACTACGTCTCAAATTAGCAGAAAAATCTGTTATCCTTTCGTTTTGGCTTCGCTTGCGGCGTGTGCTAATGATTTTTCTCTCTCTGGAAACTTTTGCCGAACTTGCCGGCAAGAAAATCCCCAACCCCAACCCCCATCCCCATCCCCATCACCTCCGCCGATTGCCTTACAAATGAAGTGACAGAGCATATTTAAAATTAAACAATTTAATCCGCCGCAGACGAGAAGTCCTTGCCGGCACGTGAAATGTTGACACTGTCGCCAGCTTGTTTTTCCTGCCTGCAAGGAATATGTGCTAATTAGCAAACAGTCAGCCTGCCAAGACGACAGTCAGCTTGTGTGTGTGTGTGTGTGTGTGTGCCTGGCAAGGATTGTCTTACTCCTGCTGCCATATGTCGACGCCCATTGCTGTTGTGTCTATGTGTCTTGTTAAACAAATAAGTTTGTGCTGCGTTTGTCCTTTGGGTTTCCGTCTGACGTGTCGCCTGCTTTGTCTTATCAGACGGCTCGTCGTGCCCATTGTCATTTTCCAAGTGCTTGATTGGCACGTAATTTAGTTGAGCTCTTTAGATACACGTGTGTGGAGGGCAGCTTTATACTAATATTATTCCTACTATTGCATTTACCTTTAAAATCGAACCTATAAGTTTTATAGCCTACTGTCTGTTATTGTAATTGCTGCTGGTGCTGGTTGCTATGTCAGTTCCATAATTGGCAAAAATACTAATTTAATTAGAATGTAATCATCGTTAGCGGTCAACTGACAGTTGGACATTTTTTTCTTGCAATGTACTTCTCTTTCCCATGGCGAAGCAAAAATATTTCAAAACAAATATGAAAGTTTATATCGGCACACCGACGGTTAAATGCCCTTGCAGACAGTGTTGTCATATAATGATATTCAAAATTCAATTCTGTCGATTTCGAGATATGAACTACCCGCGATACATAACGTATCTATGCATACTTTAATTAAAATCCATATAAAACTTTCATCTAATATGTGGGATTTTCTTTGCGTAACAAATTGTGTGCCAAAGTAAAATTACCCACTGCAATGGTATAAAAAGGGAAATAAATGCCTAACTGTTTAAGAAAAAGAAATAGATTACTTACTTGTTCTCTTCCACTCTCTCTCTCTCTCTCTCTCACACACACACACATACACTCTTTCTGTATGAGGATTTAGTACCAACGCCATAAATAAAAAGCTCCGCAGCAAAAATTAAACGAAACCGCATTTTACCGATTGTTAAACAAGCCTTAAAGTACGGCGACTGGCTTGAAGACTATATACATATTATATTTCACTCACTTATCGCATTTAACACATTTTTAATAATATAATTCACTTATTTGAAACGCACTTGATTTTATACACGCACCCGCACAACGAACGACCGATCAAAGAAGATGACGCGCACAAACTAAATTGTCTCGCACCTACGCTAAGCCGACATCTACACTAATACAATGGCAATTAGGTATTTGGACTTTTGCGCTCACGCCATCTGCAATGCTCGCCTCTTCGGCAAGTACTTGATACACACACAGCCAAGTAACGGGATCAAAAGCAATATGACCAATCACAATGGACATAAAAATGAACGCGCTCTCTCAAATGTGGCTGCAGCTTGCAATCCAATGCGAATAAATTATCTTCCACGACATCCACAATGTCCACACTCTGGGCATATGCCCTCTGCAAGAGCGAAGATCAGCGCATTTGAGCCAAAAGGAAATTACATTTGAGCAAGTGAATCGATTGCTTAGTACTACGAACTTTAATCCTAATCAATATACATATCTATAAGATAACTGGAGTTGTGACAAAATTAGAATGCCCTTTGATAGGGTATTATAATAACGGAAAAAGCAATGACCCAACCGCAACCATGTTGATTACAAGCACTCAGCAGTGCCGACAGCGCCGGACAACAAATGAAACCAAATAAAAGCCAGACCAAAAGCCGTGCCCGTCACCGCCAATATCAATGACCAAAATCGAACGCACAAATAACCGCAATGTAACACATTTGCAAATATGCAAAAAGCCATAAACAAAATAAGCGAAGCGCTTCCAATGGGAAACGGAACAACAGTGCAATGCCGCCCCGCCCCGCCCACTTCCAGGGGCTGCTGTGTCCCTGCGATTGTTTGCCAAAAACATTTAAACCTTTATTTGAAAATTACACATAAACATATTGCAAAGCGAGCCTGCGAGGGGTGACCGCAACAGACGGTCAATGTATATACTCTAGCATAGGGTATTACAACATTGTCCGAATAAACTGCACAATTTAGATAGTTGTTGATCAATTGTCGGGGTTAATATTTAATGCCTGCATTTAGCCAAGTTAATAAGCCAACAGCCAGATTCGAATAGAAAAAGCCTCAAAACGGTGTAAAAAGTAATTTGTATGTTGGCTAGAGTCGTGATTTTTTCGTGACTCGTGATAAGCACGACACGATTTGCTTCAATTTATTATCATTTAGACCTTTGCCTGCAGCCGAAAGACGAACCTGACGAACTGAGTTTGTATAGAAACCGACAGACAGAACATTCATAGTTATCAATCATATATATATACCTTATAGGATCGGAGATATTTCACTCTATAGGATAGTTATAATTCATGTTTACAATCAATTCTTAACTCTCAGCTGGTTTGAGCTCTCGTATTCCGTAGTACTGCCCAATTTAATGAATTCCTACAACGTAAAGTTGTGTGTCATATGAAGAGCATTTCATATTCATTGAATGGAGAATGCATTTAATTCTTGATTTCTGAAGCTGTGTGTGCGAAACATGCGAAACATATTTGCCAATGCATTTGGCAACATCATTAAGTTGAAAATTGTTGTGCCACAAGAGTGCAACGGCCTATGAAGGGCCGCAGAGAAGGGGAATTGGTTGGAGTCCGATTGCACACGGGGCAAAGGCAATGAATTTTCATGAATGCAGTCAAGTCTATAAAAATGCAGTTGCAGTTGCCAAACCGAGCCCGAAAATGAGTGCGTTTTAAATATGAGTTAAAAACTCTGGCAAATGGTTTTGAACAGAACACAAAACGGAACTCCTCCATATATGCATGCATATGCATTGGGTATGGTCCGAGGCTTATCAAATGGTCATTTTTGTTTGCATTTAATTAAAAATCAGACAAAAAGTAAGGACACGTGTCAATGTGTCACCGGGCGGCAGGCGACGGGCGACGGGCGCGATAAATCACGCTTAAAACAAATGCCAAGTAATTTATCAATGTCAACACTCAACGCCTCGACGGGTATAGCAGCACATCTAAGCAACAAAAATAAAAAAAGGTTGAAAGGATTAAAGCCTTTAACGGTTGCATAATTAAACGAATGCGCCCCGATACATGTTGCCACAGCAGCCTGGGCATTATCAATGTAAATTGTGGCAGCCACGTCTGTTTGCACTTCTCAAGACTTTTGCTTAATTTTCAATTTAATTGTTGCAGGCAGGCGCTTTGGTCATTTGGTCAGCCGCACACCCATCTACACACACACACACGCTGTCCGGTGTTTGCTTGTGTATTTGTCGATGTCTTGTGTTTGTTTTTGGGTTTGGGCCAAAGTTCACTAAATTGCATTTCGGCACGCAATTAGTGGTTCATTTGCTGCGTGGCTGAGCCTCCCACAGAGTTGGCTTCGCATGGACTCCAGCGGGATCGGCGGGTAGCATCGATATTTGTCCGGGCTAGGCTTGTTATTTGCTTTGTGTGCAAACTTAATTTCATCTTATTACGGTGCAGAAATTTTGCAATTTCCGCAAATGCCCAGACCTCGGCTCTGGTCAAGTCGGTAATAGGCACAGGAATTGGCCGCAACTGCGTCTTCAGCTGTGTGTGTGTCCATTGCCTTTGAGCGGAAATGGAAAATTCTTGTAAGCAGGCAGAGCAGGCCACGCTCAAGTGTTTACTCGGAGTCCTAGGACTTGATTATTAGTTTATGTTGCGGCTGTTGCGTTGTTCCAGAGAGAGACAGAGAGAGTTCTCCTCAGGTATCTTGAAGATGGCACATCTGAAATTGAATGCTTTAATTTTTTACGAAACGCAAATCTGATAATTCTCAATTACCTAATTTATTGCTTGCCTTTTTTTGCTTTTTGCTGAAAAATTGCAGGACACTCCCAAAGTAGCATGTTGCACATTTTGCGTCCTTTCGTTAGGGTTTTGTTTTTTCCTCTATTTTTTTATGAGCATCAAACAGAAAGCAGAGCAGCGCATAAAAAAGCTAATTTAATTAAAAGAAAATGCAATCAAAAACGCCATTCGGTAGCTCGGGCTGTGCATTGTCCTGTGTGCGTGCCGCCTTGCAATTCTCCTTGACGCAGGACCTTTTTTACGACCGCAAAACAATGACGAAATGCAGCCCAAGTGCCAGATAGAGACAAGAACAGGATGTGCCATGCGGTTGTTTTGCTCGATGCGATTTTATGCACATTTATCATAATTTCACACGCAGCCCTCGACGCGAGGAGTCACAACAAGGACACTTTTTAGTTCTGGGTTTGGTAGCGCATAAAAAATATAAATTTAAGTGCAGCTCATGCTCAGGGGGCGCGGCAAGGAGCACAGAAATTGCATTTCGCCTTTTACGACCAAATGACATTTATGGCGTTTTCTTAGCCCGCTGCCGGGCCAAAAGCGGGCGAAAGGGTATGGCAACGGTAATAACCCATTAAAACTATTCGTAAACACACCTACCATAGGTAGAAACTAGAAATCTCATGCTGAGCCAAGGCACAACGGTATGTAGATCCTGACGGGCAACATGTCAACACATTTCTGTTTGCGATTTCCTGCGCGCCAACAACAATGTTTGAACTGGTTATTAATATTAATGCCGCCCAAACTGTGCGCCATAAACTAGTCGTTAATAATAATAAATGCAGTGAGCAATACAAAAAGCATGAAAACGAAGTCTATGCGCGACTGAACAATGCTCTGTTTTCAGCACAAACAAAATGGAACTCAACTGAGTTGGACATAAGTTTACCAGGTAGATTACAAGGGAGTGTAAATAACTATTGTAAAAGACAGTTAATAGCAAGAAAGAATAGCTATTGCCTCTACTGATGCCATATAATATAGTAGGCCGAGTTCTACTGCTATGCAGATATATTAAAGCTCAGCATTGAAGAGTTTGAAAAGCAGCAATGGCTTTCATTACATACTAATTCTAATTCTGATACAATGGGCTGCTGCTTGAAAAGATCTTGCTCATATTTAAGCAGCGTGGTAAAACTAGCTAATGCCAAGTTTGTTCAAGATATCTATCTTCAACAAGATACTATACTCGATCGATAATTCCTAGGGCAGTGATACGATTCAGACGATTTCGACATAAGTAAAAGCTAAGAAACTCGCTTGGATGGGATCAGAGAGAGACTTGGCTTAATAACGAGTCCAGAAAGTATATACTCCTAGATGATTTCCTTGAGGGGAATGCTTCCTGATTCTGAATGTAGACAGTAAAAATGATGCTTACATGCTGGCACAACTGAGTTCCATTCTGCCGCAGCTTACAGGGTATACTCTGGTAAAAAAAAAATAAACAGGAATAAATCCAAGCCGTAAAAATACAAATAATAAAATTACTTTTTATTTACTTTTTGGCCATGCTGCTTGCTGGGCTCAAATCTCGGGAGGTATTATCAGACACGTTTTCCGGTAATTGAAGTGTTTGTTGTTGCCCTCGCAGCAGCTCTTCTTCTTCTTCTTCTTGTTGTTGTCTCCGGCAGCTGCTTCAGCCCATCCTGGAAGCCCGACTCTCATAATTCTACTTGTGACAAATCAACGCCCTCTTGTAGCTAACTTCCTGCTGTTTTCTCTTCGCTTTTACGAGTGTGTGTAGTTTTAGTAGTAGTCCTTGCCGTTGCTTTATCAAAAGTAATTTCGCTTTTATTTCCTTTGACTATTGCCAGCGATTTCCGTTTTTTCCGTCAATAATTTCATCTCATTTCGTTCTTTGTCATAAAAAACGGCCAACAACAACAAAATGTTGCAAGTGAAGAAGTTTCTTATCCTTGTTCTTGTTGTTGTTGTTGTACCATTTGATGCATGCAATATGCACAAAGTTTCCTATTTCAATAAAAAAATACTATACGGCAAATCGTAGATATAAATCTATAAAAAAAAAAATCGCAGCGTTAATATCGTAAAAGTTGTTTGGGGGCGAATAGTTCTTGAATGTTTATATTTATCTGACAACAGCTGGATGGCAACAATCTCGCAAGTATGAATTTCTTAGATTTGGTTGTAAACAAATATTCCAATTGATCAAAAATATGGCTTGAATGCCAATTTACTTATTTTATTTAACACATTTTAACAGCAGATAATTTCTTAAAATTTGCGTGCTTTTGTGTGAATGGCAAAAACGCTAAAGCTGTTAGCCAAGTTTACAGTTAACAAGCTGCGGTGCAGAGTTGCTTAGCAAATAATATATAAAAAAAAAACAAGAATACAAAAATGCATATTTTTTAAAAGTGCCGAAGTCTTGCCAATTTGATGTAGACTCGCAATATTTGTGTACATTAAAACAAGTGCACCACGAATTTTACTAAAGCAGTAGGTACATATGTATGTACCTACAGGCATATGCATGTGCCTACATGCTGCATGCATGTACCTACATACAAATGCATGTACCTACATACAAATGCATGTGTGTACGTAATCATGGATGCATTGTCACAAAATAAGAAATCAGCCCCAATGGCCGAAGTTCAATCGCTCCGATATATAAAAGACATTTTAATAGGCGCAAGTGAGCGTACCATTAAAACAATATTTGATACAACCATGATATATATTTAGCACCTACATGCAGTCATGTACATTCTTTTATTTTCTGACGTCAGATAGCTTACACTTTTATGATAAGCTGCTTTAAAAACATTCCACAGCTTGTTGACTTTGGAGTTTGATACAATGAATAAATAAATAAATAGTGTTGAAAGGTAATAACCCAATTTTCCAAAAAAAAGTCTATATTGTAATTTTAGATACATTTAAACACGAGAAATTTGCATCGTTAAGAATTTTGTGTGAACGGTAAAAGCTGGAATCTGATTAACAGCCCTGAGGCCAGAAATGCAACACTGTGGCATCTTTTACAGCTGAGTATGTGCTGAAATGAATTTTTTAACAACTAATATGAAAATAGATAATATACTTATATAATTGCTGTGAAAAAAATAAAAAGTGAATAAAGCAAGTGTGCACTGAAAGTATTTAGAATAGTTTCTGTACGTGTTTTGTGTGTGAAAAGTGATTTGCTAATCGTAGCAAAGTACTTATGTATGTACATACATATGTATGTGTGCAAATACTGAATTGTGTCTATATGTACATACAATAGAAGCTGAATTGCTTTGAAGAATTGTCAAATTTAAATTGCCCAAGTGAGTGTATAAACCATTTTAATTCAAAATAAATTACAATACATAGTGCAAAAAGTCTTTTGCCCATCTTTGAATCCTCAGCCAAACAATGGTGTTCAATTAGCATCTTAATAAACTGCAATTTTCTGCGGTTACTTAGCCTAAAGAAAATCCAACAAAGACCCTTGAGAAGTCGACGTCATAAACCACAAAACTGTGCGCTACCTGTATTTTTTGCCATACCATGCCTACGACACAAACACACACACACGTATATTTATCTCGTTTTATTAGCTGACATATTTATGCATATTATTAACATTAGGTTTAATGCACCTTTTACATTTGTTATATACAAAAGTGAAATTTGCAAATGTCGTTTTTGGCATTTAGCATTTCGCAATAGGATCAACCTAATCATCGTCCTCATAACCATCCTCAGTAAGGGACGCGCGCCTCCGTGGCTCATTAATTTTTATACGCGCTACGTGCGTGTGTGCGTGTGCGTATGTGTATGTGTGTGTGTGCTGTGTTACGTTATGTGCCTGGCTTTTGGTTGCAATAAAAACATATTTTATTAGTTGGCATACAACAGCGCAAAAAGGATGCACACAGTGCATGGTGGCCGGGTGGCCGGGGTGCCCGATCTCACCACCATTTGGCCGCTGTCCCTGGGACTGTGATGACTTGCTGTCAGCATAAATTCATTATTTATGGTGCAATCAATGCGACCGAGCGTATGTCAAACACATCAAAAATCAACAGCTCATCAGTCGCTGCCGCAGCCAAAGGCGACTCCCAATTCCAGTGTCAATGCGCCTCGCCCTGACGGCCCGGAAGTTTGTTTATTTTATAGTTTTAGCCGCCCGTCGCTAGCTGCCGCCACGGTGCGAAAATTTGCAAATCCTGCGCAGCTCTGCGGGTTGTCCGGCCGACAGTTGTGGCTCATGTTTGACGTTTGCCTTGACATCGGGCCTGGCAAATTTGAATCTCTTTTATGTGGCACCTCATAATGGCTGTTGTTTGTATGCATGTCGACTGTTCTTCATTTGCCAAAATATACCCTTCAAGAAATTAAATATAGGGTATGTGCTGCCCATTGCAATGCTTGTGATCCCGTTACTTGGCTGTGCATTCACAGCAAAAGGCGAGCTTTGCGGATGGCGTGAGCGCAAAAGTTTTAATTCTCAGTTGCATTTGTATTGGTGTGAATGGCGGCTTAGTGTAGGTGTAAACCCATTGAGCAAATTTAGTTTGTGCGCGTCATCTACTTTGATCGGTCGTTCGTTGTGCGGTTGCGTGTGTAAAATGTCTGTTGCGATTAAAAAAAGCAAGTTATATTATTTTTTTTTGTGTTAAACGCGATTAGTTCGTGTAAACTACCATAAATAGTAGTTTTCCATCCGTTTTCGGCTGTTTTACAATCGGTAAAAGTGATTATAGTTTAATTTTTTCCTGGAGAGCTTTTTAATTTCGGCGCGCGAGAGAGAGAGAGAGAGAGAGAGAGAAAGTTCGAGAGCACAAGTATGAAGCTTTTTCTAAACAGTTCACTGGTATTTCCCTTTTCATTGCTTTGCAGTGGGAAATATATTTTTTATGAGTAATGCGTAAATGTGGAGCATAAAAATACCCTTTAAAGTAACATATATGCAAATTGTTTTTGATCGTAGTTTTTTAAAAATGTGAGAAGTTTGGGGGCCTATGGAGGTGCCGTATATATATATATAGGGTATACAAACTTCTAGCATACTTTTGCTTGCCCTTATTTGCATTTTGGGGGTGTGTCAGTTTTTATTTCTAATTCCGAAATGAACGTATAAATATTTGCCAGACTGCGCCATAATTCACTTTTGGCAACTTTGTGTGATTTGTCCAGTTGAGAGTCTTGACACATGACTTTAATGCCTTAAAGGACTATTATCTGGTGATATAATGATGTGATACGACGATGTAGCATCACGATTCCGGCCAGGCCAAATAATTAAATGCTCAACTTGGCTGTGCGTGTGCTCATTTAACGCTGCCAGGGCAAATGATGAATGGCCGAGTGCTTCCTATTTCTAGGTTTATCCGTTTTTCCACCCTGCAATTAATATGCTCTTAATCAAGAATGGGCCGAGCTGCCGACTCTGCCGGGCTGGACTGATGTCTTCCATCATCTTTCGGAGCTAACTTGCGTGTTTTGCGCACCTCAATACGTACGGTCCACCCCCCTTCTCCCCCCAGCACGAGTTCCTAATGCGTCATTTTCTTTGGCTGTATCAATATCCTGGCGTATGCGGTCACGCATCGAATTGCTCTAGTCATAATTTTTCAGGGGGGGCACTCGTCTATTTGTTGTTATTCCTGTTAAATATTCATGCGAATCTGCGCGTTGTCAGCTTCGTTTTATTTTAATGACATTTCAATAATTAATGTATCTTTCTTTTTTTTTCGCCCATTTTTTCCATTTCCGTTTTCCTGCCCGATTTCGGTTGCCATTGTCGCCGAAGTGTGCGTGTCCTTTATGTATATATACATATATATATTTTTTTTCGGCCAGACTTCTTGACTAGCCTGTCGCTCGGGGCCAGATCATCAATCAAAAAGGCATTTTTAAATGTTTCTTCTAGGAACTGCTTGTCGCGGCTTATAAATGATGCTGTTATTTCGGTTTTTTTCGGTGGGTTTTCTCTTGCTTTTGATTACTTTTGGGCGTTTTGCGAGCTGATTTTTTAAATGGCAAATGTTCATCAATTTTAATAAGTCAAAATAAGTCAAGAACGCTAATGTTCTAATTGCGTGAAAGTGCGCCCAAATAGAATATGTCAAGTGGCTGTATTTATAAGAATAATAAGAAAATAAGAAAAAGTGTATATATAATTGATCAGTAACAATATTCCCTGTCTGTATGTACCAATGCAATAGGGTATTTTTTGTGGAATGAAGAGAGTGGACAACGCGGATGTTGTGGAAGGTAATTTATTAGCAGATGCTTTTGGCTTCTTCGTCTCGCGCTCACGTCAAAGAGCGCGAGCATTGTGGATGCTAATTTACATATTTATCCATTTCGCTTACGCGATTGGTCATGCTGCCATTGATCCCGTTACTTGGCTGCGTAGCCCAAGCTCTTACGAAAGAGGCGAGCAAAAGCTCTAATAGTTGTTATTGTATTAGTGCGATTGCCGGCTTAGGGGCTTAGCGTAGGTAGATAATTTATGCAGTGCGCGTCATCTTCTTTGACCGGTCGTTTACGGTGCGGATTTTCGTGTAAAATCAATTGCGATTAAACTAAGAGAATTGCAATGTTATTGTGGCGTGAAAAGCGTTAAGTGCGTGTCATCGTGTATGAGTATTAGTCATCAACCTGTTTACGGTCGAATCTGGAATCGCTAAATATTTGCTGCAAAGCTTTTTATTTTTGGCAAGTGCTTTTACTTATTTCACAGCCAAGAGACGAGAGAGAGAGAGAGAGCGTGGGAGAGAAAAAGTAAGTACTTTTAAGCTTTGCTCAAACTGTGCAATACTTATTTTATTTCCCTCATTACACTTTCTTAGATAAAATATTTATTTGTTATTTTTTATACAAAGAGGCACCCGATAAAATACTTTTATAATATATATATATATATATATATATATATATATATATATATATATATATATATATATTCGATCCATCGATACATCCGTCTATATGTATTTTCATTGCATACAAGAACTTGAAATTCAGCTTGACCCTACAATTGTTACACTTTATCTTTAATCAAACCCAAATTCTAATCGCATTTGCTCTTCAATTATTTAAGTTACTTTCCTTTTCTGCACAGCTGTCATAATACCCACAACATATAGAACGGGAAAGTGAACATTTTCTTCCAGCTGACTAAATCAATACCCTGTTTCCATTGGGTGGCTTTTATTTTACTGCGCTCATAATTCGTGTAAAAACATTTCCTCGACGCTAAGCAGCTCAGCTAATGTCATTAAGTTGCCATTAGTTGTTGACTGATTTGATTTAACTTAATTTTTTCGCACAATCCACAATGAAAGGGACAAGACAAATAGAAGATGGACAAGAGAGACTTTTGAATACCCCATAATCGAATTTAAATGTGCAATTCGAAAGTAAATATTCGCTGATGATAATGAAATAATGTTTAATTTGTTAATATTATCATTAATTTATTAATTTATTACTAAGGAAATTAGGCAATCGCTTGCTTACTTGTGACTGGCTCAAGTGTAGAGCATTCAATAGTCGACTCTTCCCGCATCACTTTAGTCTTTTTGCAGACAACTTGTGTTTTTTGGAGATTTTTCTTGTTGTTGTAGGGTTTGGTTTGGGTCTAAACCAATTGTTTGCTTCATTTTGCAAAGAATGTCCATGGCCTGCGAGCTAAACGAATAATTCGTTTGGGACATACATATATACACAAAATTGGCCAAAATGCGAGGGAATTATGTGAGGAATCGTTGTCGATAGAAATCTGAAGATTTTTGCCGGCAGCTTTGGTGCATTTCGTGGAAATTTATATCAATAAACCGAGCGCGGAGTTTGTTTTGATGCGAGTTCACTTAACTTGGCTGGCAGCCATATTAGAAACGCTTTGCCAACTAATTAGCCGCTCAGAAGTTTGGCTGGCAGTTTGTGTTAACTGTTTTTTTTTTTGTTTGTGATTTTTACAGCTTTACTTACAAATCGCTCGATGTTTGGAAAAGTTTTTATTGCGTGTGCGGCCCAACAAGTTGTCGACGGCGAAAACATAATCATAAACTTGTCTCAATTATTCTTAATATGCCACGCCCTTGCCGGCTGCGCCCCCGCATTTAGACGAACTTTTATCTGTTGTACGTTAATTAGTTTTGTTCGGTTGAAGTGCAAAATTTTTGATTTTTTCGCCAATGCGCTTGCAAACTTTTTATGAACTTTTGCGCCAAAAATGTTTGCCAATCAAAATGAATTGAACACACAGGACGCAGGATCCTGCTGCTGCAAGCGCAGGATGCACTGCCTCTGATTGCAGCTGCATAAGTGCAAAAGTTTAATTAAATGGCGGCGGCTGCGAGGTCGGGCAAATTGGGGAAAGGTTCCGACTTCAAATGGCGCTTATGATGAGCCCCCTTGGAATTGCCAGCGCTGATTTTCCATAAGTTTGGCCAGCTGCTAAAAAATAGAAGAAAAATTAACTTAAGAATGCAAATTGTTTTGTTAGCACCTAATTTTTTGACATTATCAAACGGGGCGCCAAACGCACAACCAAGTTTTGCAGCTGAAAATGTTTCTATATATGTATTTTTTGCATAATTGAATTTGCTTGTGTTTTGGCGCTGTGGGACGCCAGTTTGGTTAACTTGGCAACTCTGCCGCGGGTGTTTGTGCTGTTAGCCAGAAAAGTGGAAAACTTTTATATTCAAAGTGTTGGCGAATTCACAACTACAATGTGATATGAAAAATATATGTATATGCTGTACAAATGTGTACTTTAATTAAAACCCAAAAAGGAAGGGTCTATGTAAAGTCTTGGCTTAATTGAAGAGACTTGCTTAATTTCTCGTAATGCTGTGCACAAAAGAGGGCGATAAATAAGCTAAACTCTAATTATTTTTCTATCCTGAATCCATGGAAAATGTGAAGTATATATGTTCCTGATCAGCATCAATATCTGTTAAGCTAGCCAAGTCAGTCTGACTGTCTGTCTGTCCGTCCGCATGTAGAAGCGCGTCGATTGTTGAAGCCGGGAACTTGGGATGTAGGCCCTCCTAGTGCCCGTGCAGTTTGTTTTAGTTAATCGATAACTTGTGCCGATTACAAGCAATCGATATAAATCGGTATCGAAATCTTGTTATTTGAACCAATCTTCAAGTTTTGCATGGCATGTAGCGTCTAGAATATTGAAAAGAGATCATGTATCTTTCATTGTGGAGCTACCGCCCGCCCCTCTTGGTAGAAGAAGGTCCAGGGTATCTGCCCGTCAGGTAATCCCGACCAGAACACTATACTTGTTTTTATAAAACATAGTATTCGAAGCGTTGTAGTTTCAAATATATCTAGATCTAGATGCTTAAAAATCCTCGAGAATTTTGCGATTTTCTGACATTAAACTCTGAATTCGATGCGACGCTTTAAAATGCTTCTCTGCTTGTCAGAACAATTTCAAAACTAATATAAATTTGTATTTATGCAGAAATATATTGAAAACATGTGCCTCTGAATACAACAGCCCACTTGAATGCCGTCGGTACATACATATAAATTGAATGTGATCGAAAGCCGTCGGCACTTGACGATTTCGCGGATTTCGAGAAATTTTCTTTGTTCCAGGAGATTAAAATGAATCTTACAAGTTCCGTAATACAATAAACGTATGCATGTGTATATATATATATATATATAGATTATATAGACAGCGCTGCATATATGTGGGCCTATTTGACTCTTTGATTTACTTAACTTCCGGTTTGTTCTGATTTATTTATTTCCGATATTGATATATTAATTTGTATGCGGCTTGCTTTGCTTTGTGCATACGCTGAAAATTTTAAGACAGCCAATAAATAAAAATTTGTTTAAGTATTTGTTTTTTTTTTTTAATTTATTTTTTTTTTTAATTTATTTTTTTTTTTGTCGTTTTTTGTTTTGTGGCCTGCCAAAAAATTGATACAACTTTTGACAGGCCTTATAAATATTCTACTGAGTTCTGTAGCTTTTACAATATGTTTATCGCTTAAGGACTAAGCAGGACGATTACAAAAGCTTACAAACTAAATACATTTTTCGTAAATTAGATTTAATTATAATATAAATCAAATATATCTAAATCGAAAACTCGTTGTTGTTTGTTGTTGTTGTTGTTGTTGCTATATCGAAAGAAACAAAACCATTATCACAATCGCTTTGATGAGTAAACTTAAGGGGGTGTGGGGGGGCTGCATAAATTTTGAGTCGGGAAAAGTTGTCAGATAGGCCGATCGCTGGGTGTTTCCTTTGTACTATTTGACTGACTGTGGACTGTTGTTCTAGTTGCAGTTGCAGTTGCAGTTGTAGTTGCAGTTGTAGGTGTATAGTTGTGGTTGTGGTTTACTCAAGATGCGTTCTTTTCACTGCGATGGTTTGCGCCACTTGCCGCATTTGCGACCCGCACGCTGCAGACACTGGCCGGCCGTGGAGTCCATTAGCTGGCGTATGGTGTTTAGCATTACGGTCGCCATCTGCCACTGGCGTAGGCGCAACAGTTGCTTCTCCTGTTCACGTGCCTTGCGCAGCATTGCCGCCTGATCGGGTATATAGAAGGCCACGGCCATTGTATTTGTTGTTCTTGTTGTTGTTGCTCTTGTTTTTTGCTGCTGCTGCTATCAAGGAAAACTTGTTCTTTGTTTCCAATTGCACAATTGTTTGTAATTAATAATGTCTTTCTCCGCAGATGACTCAAGACTTTCTCTTTGCAGATTCGCGCGAGGCACACAATGAATAAATTAACTACACAAATGCTTTGTTGCTGTTCTTCTTCTTGTTGTTGTTGTTGGCGTTTACGCACACGTCAAAAATGTGTCTGGTTCATTCACTTTGTTTTGCTTCGCTCCTGCTGCTGTTGCTGGTGCTGCTGCTGCTGCGTCCGCACGCTTTGTTAGCTGACTTCAAACTGGCTGGCGTGAGCGCAATGTGCGCTCTTTTATACGCCGCACGCTCTCGCAGTCGGCATTCGTTGCCGCCGCTGCCGCTGCGGCTGCGGTTGTTCTTGTTTCTCTTGCTTTGGCATTCGGCGCGCTGGAGAGTTGAGTCTGTCCTGCTCTCTGAGCGCTCACTTGACGTTTTGTACGTAGGCCTCAGTTGCTCTCGCTGCTTAAATTTTTTGTTTTGGTATTTTTGTTGACATCGCCTCATTCGTATTTTTTGTGCGCAGCCACCAAAAAAAAAATAATAAAATTTGTTGCCCAGGCCGCGTTCCCTCTCTGCGGAGTGGGCATGGGCATGGGCGTGGGCGGGGCGGCCACCTTGCGCCTGTTGCCAAGTGGGTGTCTCAGTATGTGTGTGCGTTTGTGTGTGTGTTGTCAGGTTATGTTCTCGTCACAGGCGTCGCTGTCGCGCCTTTGTTGTAACTGTATGCGGCGAGAAGTACAGTTAGCATATTAATTGTATTAAATCGTCGTTGCATGACAAACATTTTCAGCAGAACGTCTGGAAGGCAAAAAGAGAGCTTGGAGAGAGACTGTGACACTTGGAGATATGGGCAAGTGGGCAAAGTTGAGGTGTCTGAAAAAAAAACCCAGATACATCTGTATTTATGCACATATATGTATATGATTATTATACTTTCCTTTATAGATGTATGCATTTATCAAGTTCACATGCGTATAACGAGTTGTCAACGAATATGACGAGCCTTTTAGCCATGTCTCTTTATCAGCACACTCTATAAATGTTTTACAAATGTTTTTCCAGTGCTTCCGACATGCTAGCCATAGCTATGTATCTATAAGATACAAGCCAAGTGGTATAAGTAATGAACGCTTGTCATAAATTTTTTGCATACATTTCATTCATTTTTTTATTATTATTTTTTTTTTCAACAATGGGCCCGTCATGTCGCCGCCGCTATAGCTCATCTTTTTGTTCGTAATTCGCAGGAATTTTCGTATTCATTAGAGCGAAACGATCCAAAAATTATAGCATTGCCATATCATTTATTTTGGGATTATCTGCCACAGCCAAACGAACATGATATATAATTGTATGCAATAACATTTCCGAAATGTTTATTAAATATTTGCCCTTTTTTACACAGAGTTGTTTAACGTGTTTATTAAGAATTTCATTCAATACTTTCTTTTATTGTGTCTGATTTTATAACAAAGACCAATACTAAGCCCCAGCATAAGTATGCATGCGATCGCACTCATTCATTGTTTAAGTTTAGTTGTGTTTATTAATAAACATATTATTGAAAAGTTGTTGTAACCTTGATACTTAAAACCACAAACATTTTAGAATAGGGTAAATGTAATAATTAGTCAGCATTTTATATGTGCATCAAATTATTCATTCCATTTCATACAACTCCTTTAATCATTGTATATATTATACAAGTGATTAATCCGAAAATGTTGATTAAAAAAGAATGCAGTAAGAAACTTTCCTTCTGATGAAATTCAGAATTTCTAAAAGGCAGCAGTTAGTGTTTTCTTAGCTAACCTATCCGCTGAGAACTGGCCAACTTGAGGGCTCTTAACTCCACCCACAATGCTGTCAGTTGGCTCTGACCCACGCACACTAACGCAATCGAACAGAGAATTGTCTACTTGGTAAACTCAGAGCGTTCGTCTCAAGTATCTTTAGAGTCGTACCACTGTTACACAACTTCCTCCACACTTAGGGGTTGCTCTAGAGGTCTATTGTTACAAGAACTACTCGCTGTATGTTTTGCTATGCTCTGGCATTTGCCTTCTCGTTCGCACAAGCGACAAAGTCGCTGCATAGTTTTTTTTCTTTCCTTCTTGGTTTTCCGGGCTCGCGCCGGCAGCATAAATCTAAAAGGCGTGGCTTATTTCCCTAACGCCGGCAACCTTTTCAGCCAGAAAGAAGCCGCAACAACATTTTCTCTTTCGCTTTGGCCCAATGAGCCAACGACTGAAGTTGAGTTTTTGTATGCTTCTGTTTCGATGTTTTTCTTTTATTTTTTTGTTTTTTGGCTACTTTACTTTTTGTATTTGCGGGGCGGAGCTTTGGCCGAGACCTTATTTAATGGGCTACCTTTGCGTGGCTGTTATTTTATGAATCATCGTTTCTGGGTGGAGTCTATAGATTTTAAGCGAATCTATGCTTGATTTTCATAAAAAGAAACACTTCAAACTCCTCGAACGCGATTATGCCGTCGGTAATTTACGCATTAATTGAACCAATTAGTGAATTGCCTTTTTCCGAGCTGTTAGATTATATTTAGTGAGATAAGAGTTTCAATGAATCGAATTGCTCAATGAGGCATGCGAAAGGTTCTTAAATGAATCCCTTGTTTTCTTAAAGGATTACATGATATTTCTTTTTTAAAATCTTTTCGATCAACTTTCTTTCTGGTCATGCGGGTAATTATTGCAATTTTTATTGAAATTTTACAGCTAATGTTAAGCGACGTGTGTCAACACATTGATTGATAAAAAAAAGAAAAAATCTGGATTTAGGGTTGTTTAGAAATAACCCATATACCATTGTTGTCGCTATCAATTTGCATATCTAATTGCATGGAAATATGATTTGCTTACTGTTTCCGAAATGATGAAACTTTTGGGTCTAAGACTTTGGGTAGTGGAAAGTGAATATGTCAAATTAGCTTTTAATTGAGTTTTCAATCTGCATGTCAAATGACCCACATGATCAAAAGTTTGACGCGTGTTGTTCCCCTTTTAAAATGGTGTCAATCGAGCAGATTCCCGAAGTTTTCTGCACAACAGTTGCCAGCATTTCATGAAGACAAGCTTGCAGATCAGGCTTTTATATTTCACCAGCTTCTCTGACGTGTCTTTGTCTTTGTTATCGAGCTCTTGACGTAGTCGTTTGGGCCTGCCTCAAAACCTGGGCCTGAAATTACCTGCCAAGCTACAGATACTCGCCGTCATATGCTAATGAGTAATGCACACAACTCGGCAACTTGCGCAATGTTGCCTCTCATCCATCTCATTTTCTAACTAAATTTCTTGCTCTCAATTTGCATGAGTTTAATACGAGATCGCTTTGTCACCTCCTGCCCAAAAATGTGTCTCAGTTATGCTCTGCTTATCTCTCGGCTTGCCAGCCGATCTTTTGGCTTCTCTCTGTGTTCCACTTCGTGTAATTTGTATTAATTTTTTATGATCTCTACTGGTGGCCCTGGCATATCTCTCCCTCCACCGACCGCCGTCCGCCGACAGATATTTTTATTTGTTTTCCATTTAGAAAGCACCGAAACAAAGACAATTGCTGGGTGATCCGTTGCACATGGGTCATTAACTCGCCGCCGTTTGTAACGCCTGTCATTGAGCGCTGCTTAGGCAGACGATCGTCTACGCGGCGATCGCGGAAGCTTTGCCGTTTCCCAGGCAAACGCAGAGACCAGCCAACCAGCCAACCGGCCGACGGATGAGTCATCCGCGCAATGCACTTGGCAGTGGATGTGGCTTGGGTAACCTGGTGAAGAGCGGAGGGGTTTTTGGGGGGGACCACAACCAAAACGAGACCCATTTAAAGTTGTTTAACGACTGTTTGCTGTCTGTGGGGTTTCGTCTCGTCTCGAGTCGTCTCGTCTGGGGTACAACATGTGCATAACTGTGTTCGGATTCGGATTGGACTTGGAATTCGGACGCAGTTCTCAACACATGCACACACTCAACGCAAAAAAAAAAAAAGATACAAGACGGCACGAAAAATGATATGCCGATAAGATTGTTATACAAGCGGTAACCCAAACACAGATGTGAACCTACGTCGAACTCTTGGCCTTTGTTTAATTTATTTGATTGTTCTTTTTGTTTGTCCATCGATGATTTCTGTGTGTGCCTGTGCGTGTGTGTGTCTTGTACAAACATGTCCGCACTATAGCTATATGCTCGGTTTTTATTTAAGTAATTTTCGCCCCTTTTTCATAGATTTCATGAATAGATAACGCATCTTTCATCTCTTACTATCTGCAGTTGCAGCAGATCTTCAGGTTCTCTGATTTTTAGGTAGGTGCGTGGTAGGCAACATGCAACGACATGTCCAACTGTCTCTCTCGAATGGTTCTTGTTGTTTGTGTTTGCTTATGTCATTATTTGCCTATGGTCTTAGTTGCACTAATATTTTCCTCATGGGCAGTAGTCGAATGGCATGAGGTGCGAGTGGATTGGCCTGAAGTTAAGTGGAGTGAGAAGTGTGTCTGTGCTGCTGGCCTAGGGCATGAGTCATGCTGTTGCGGTTGCAATCGTTGGGAATGCGTGTGGAAATAGGCGGCAATTAGAGTTGATTATGAGTAGGTGCAAGTGCATGGTTAATTTATGGAGCAGATCGTTAACATGTGTCTTCAACATGCGCAAATTCTGAAACTTTAATGGCAGACAGCCAGAGGATATGGTTAGATGAATCAATATACTCAATATATAACATACATCTAACTAGCTTAAACTGCCTATGTTTGGTATAAGAATTCTTATCAATAATATTATTTTATTTATTTATGAAATAGCACAAGCTGTTGGGCGGACACTCGATTGTCTTTAACCATTATTAATCAAGCCATTCTAGTAGGGTTGTAATAATATTGTGAAAAGAAATATTCAATCAAATAAATATAAGTTACAAGCGTACAAACATCAATAGCTTGCATAATCAGAATAAAATAAAATAAGTTTGCTAACAAAAAAAATATATATTTTGGTTTATTTTGTTAATTAACTTCATTCCAACAACTTTAAGTTAGCACTTCTCATATCAAATTTAAAGATGGGAATAGAAATAAAGAACATCAAAGCATTACGTTTCCCAAAAATTTGATTGAAATTCACATCCAAAAGGCCCGATAGATGCTTCTTTCTTTAGCTAGGCAAAAGTATTAATCAGGATTAATAATAAAATACATATTTATAAAGAAAAATTCATTCCTTT